AGGCCAACAATCATATGAAAAAATGCTCATCGTCACTGGTCATCAGAGAGATGCAAATCAAAACCACATTGAGATACCATCTCACGCCAGTTAGAATGGTGATCATTAAAAAATCTGGAGACAACAGATGCTGGAGAGGATGTGGAGAAAAAGGAACACTTTTACACTGTTGGTGGGAGTGTAAATTAGTTCAACCATTGTGGAAGACAGTGTGGCGATTCCTCAAGGACCTAGAAATAGAAATTCCATTTGACCCAGCAATCCCATTACTGGGTATATATCCAAAGGACTATAAATCGTTTTACTATAAGGACACATGAACACAAATGTTCATTGCAGCACTGTTTACAATAGCAAAGACCTGGAACCAACCCAAATGCCCATTGATGATAGACTGGACTGGGAAAATGTGGCACATATACACCATGGAATATTATGCAGCAATCAAAAATGATGAGTTCGTGTCCTTTTTAGGAACATGGATGAATCTGGAGAACATCATTCTCAGCAAACTGACACAAGAACAGAAAATGAAATACCGCATATTCTCACTCATAGGTGAGTGATGAACAATGAGAACACATGGACACAGGGAAGGGCGCACTACACACTGGGGTCTATTGGGGGGAATAAGGGAGGGACAGCAGGGAGGGGAGCTGGGGAGGGATAGCCTGGGGAGAAATGCCAGATGTGAGTGAAGGGGAAGAAGGCAGCAAAACACACTGCCACGTGTGTACCTATGAAACTATCTTGCATGTTCTGCACATGTACCCCAAAACCTAAAATGCAATAAAAATTTTAAGAAAAAAAGAAATCTATTAACCACAAGCAGGCTAAAGGGTCAGAGAACTAAATGCAAATGTGTCCAAAAACATTTTATTCTACCTCCTACTCCATCCTCCTTCAGGGAGCTGACACTGACTCAGGGAAAACATTGCTGACTATCCTCCTGCTCCTTTGAGTTACCTTAACTAATTTGCTTTTTTAACTTTTCCCCGCTAAAAACCCCACCTTGCCATATATAAAATTTAGGTGATTTGGGATCCTCAAAGACTCAGTGTTAACCCCAAGGCAGGCCACCCAGAGATGACAACATGGGCCTGGGTGAATCATTAGATCTGAGTGCCTTATGAAGCACAGGGCATCACCACATGCCTTGGGATATCACCATGCATTCTGGGTGGTGCTCCTGAGTCTTGCAGTGTCAACACAGACCTCAACTGAAACTCCTCTGAGGAAACTAGACAATTATTGTGCTTCAGGCTGTGATTTCTGAACTTAAACCCCACCCTCCTCAGTGCTCCATTGTTAACAAGGGGGTCAAATAATGAAAAGACTGGAGAAAAGATTATTGATTTTAAGCAATTTTTTTATTTTTATGAAAGTTTCTCTGTCTGTGCCAGATCTGGAGTGAGTTATAACCTGCCCACAGCAGAGTGGACACCATGAGGTCACAGAAGCTCCTGTGTCATTACTGGTAAATTGCCTTCAGCCTTCTTTGGGCCATAGTTACTAAAAAGAGTTCCCAAAAGTGGTGAGGAAAATAAAAAGCTGTTCTTTGATCAGTGACTTTCATAGCTCTTACACAGGAATCAATTATTTACTCACAGAGATTTTGGACTCCTTGACCAGAGGGCACGGGGCTGGAGGAAGGTGCAGTTCCCACAGTGAGAGGCTGTCTGAAGCAGGACAAGAGTCTGGGAATTGACAATATCCCTAAGCTTTGACCAACAGAATATCAATCAGCCTCTGGATTGGGTGTGTAGATTCTCACTTATGCATGTCTGTTTTGTGTATACATAAATGCAAACTCTCTGAAGAGATGACAGCTCTCTGCCTAGGATACATAAAGAAAGCATCCTCAAAAAGATTCTTGCTAGGCAATAATTAAGGGTTACTTATTCTAATCTGGGCTGTCTAAAGCCATTTCACCTTCTCTGAAAGATTTACTGCTGTAAGGAAACTGAGACAGCACAATAGTATTTATCCTCACATATTTCATGAATAATGCCAGTTACTAAACATAGCAAAGACAATTTTTCAAAATAAAATTGAGAATCTAAGATGATAGTTTCCATTCAAAATATATTAGTAATTATACTTACACATTAAAAACATTTATAATCAAATAAAACCACTCCCTCATTTGACAAAGAGAACAAAACAAGTTTTTCTGCCATATTGTGTACAAAACAATAATATTTATATTAAGCATCAATATGGTTTTTATTTACTTCATATTGAGAGTTATTTTAGTGTCTCGAAGTACAATGAGTAAATCAGAAATAAAAAACACATTGTGTTAATACACTCTTGAAATATTTATATTTTACAGTAAAAAGCCATAAAGACCTTAAAATAATTTAAAATACTACATTCATTCAGAATGCAAGTGCACTTTAAAAGGTGGTTCTATCCACAGGTATGTTCTCAGTGGGAAAAAAAAAGTTGGTTCTGCTTTAACTGAAAACTATTAAAATGCGGAGTCACCTCTTTTTGTCAAGCATTACCAAATTTGTCCACACACTTTATCTCTAAGTCTTTCAAACTGTGTTTTACTAAAAAGAGATACTCCAAAATATAATATCTAGTAGAGCTTTCAATAAATAATAATAAATAATACCTATATTTAGTACTAGGCCATTTCAATTGTATATAAATATAGCTATTTATATACAATACCATAATATTAAAATATTAAAATACCATAATATTAAAGACAAATACTGGATGTCAGAGTTAGTATTTCACATGCTTAAGACTTAAAAGAAGTATAGTAGACAAATTTCTAGCTAATAGTAGCTCAGACACATATAGTTTATACTGGCATCATTGGAAGAAACTCTCACGCCCTTGCCCCACCTTCTCCTTTCAGCCTTTCTACGCTTCTGGTATGTGAAACTGCAAACTCCTCTGAGGAGACCAGACAATTATTGTGCTTTAAGCTGTGATTCCTGAACTTAAACCCCACCCTCCTTCTGTTATAGGGCAAATATATAACACAGGATTTATTTTGATCTTACCACTGGAATACCCTTTCAAAAAAGTTCTGCACACAGGCACTGGGGCCAGCATCTAATGTTTTAGTTTATTTTAATGTAATCTAATGTTTTATTGCCACAAAGACTGCAGGGCTTTTCCCCCACTTCTGCCTGCTTATGCCTTTTTTCCTCCACTTTCTATTATTAGTAGCAGTTTATTTCTTAGGAAAGAAAGCATAAATATAGTATGTAAGAAACAGAATAGATATAGCATACTGAGTAATTTTTATAAAGTATTGTTTGAGGTACAACATTCTCTATAAACCTCCCAAAACAAATGTGGTTTCTGAATGTGCTCGGCAAGTAACTTTCAAAAGCTAGCAAGTGGGCCAGGTGTGGTGGCTCACTCCTGTAATCCCAGCACTTTGGGAGATCAAGGCAGAAGGATTGATTGAGCCCAGGAGTTTGAGACCAGCCTGGGCAACATATGGAGACCTGTTTCTACAAAAAAATTAAAAATTAGCCAGGCTTGGTGGTCCTGTAGTGCCAGTAGTCCTAGCTACTCAGGAGACTGAAATTAGAAGATTGCCTGGACCTGGGAGGTTGAGGCTGCGGTGAACCACGATCGTACCACTGAATACCAGCCTGGGCAACAGAGCAAGACCTTGTCTCAAAAAAAAAAAAAAAAAACAATTTAAGGTAATAAGCAAAACTGGCTTATGAGGTAATGCTGATACTATTCGAGTATGCTATGTGTCAGGACCTAAGTCAGTAGTCATCTGTTCTCAGAAAAGTACATATACAAATTGTACCTGATATTGGATGCTGTGGTCTACTATATTGTACATTAAACATGCAAAGCCCCAAAACAAGCATAGTAATAAAAGTACAAACTTCCAAATCAAAGTTATAGGAAGTAAGATTCTTTATAAGCATCTAATTAGGTTTTATGAATCTCTCAACAAAATAGTAACCCCTTTCCATTTCTATAGCAAATGCTACAACACTTCCACATCTCATTTCACTCTAGGACATGTTGTGAGATAAAAATGGTATCTACATCCTCTTTTCCAGGCCCAGGGCTACGGTGAGGTAAGTGAGGCACTTGTCTAAGGTACAAAATGTAAGGCAGTACCAAAAAACTTAGCAATTAAGAAAACAATATTTTAATACAATACTTTAAAACATCAAAATTAATGCAAACCAATGCACAAAAAAGTCAAAGTTTTAAACAAAGACAGGGTCAATATTACTGATTTGTCCTTTTGCCTTGAGTTCTAGTGCATCTCAGTGTGGCACTGCCCTTTTCAAGGACAAGGAAACTAAGGAACAGAGTGTTAATTTCACATTCCACACTAGAAGGCTCATTACAGCAGAAGCAGGACCAAACCAACCCAGATTCCTTTCCTTTTTAACCTTTATTTTAAGTTCGGGGTACAACTGCAGGCTTGTTACACAGGTAAACTTGTGTCAAAGGGGTTTGTTGCACAGATTATTTCAGCACCCAGGTGCTAAGCCTAGTGCCCATTAGTTACTTTCCTGATCCTCTCTCTCCTCCCTCCGGTAGGCCCCAGTGTGTGTTGTTCCCCTTTGTGTACCCATGTGCTCTCACTGTCCAGCTCCTACCTGTAAGTAGGGAGAACATGTGGTACTTGGTTTTCTGTTCTTGTGTTAGTTTGCTGTGGATAATGACCTCCAGCTCTATCCATGTTCCTGCAAAAGACATGGTCTCATTCTTTTTATGACCAGTCGGTATTTCTGTGCTAATAATCCAGGCCAGTTTCCTTCAGTGAAGTCCTTTATTTTACAAGAGAAAATCTCTGCCAAGAGTTTGAAGAGCCTCATAATCAATCTCCCTGAAATATTATTCGTAAATAATCTGAAGCTGAACTAAACTCAAGCCAATCTTACATGAAATATGAAATGTGTGAATTGACATAAAATCCAATGAAATATTAATTTATTTAGTTCACTGATGCAATATATTTCTGAAACCAGATTTTTTAAATGGATACTTACTGATGGAAGAGTAAGTGTCTTAATAGAGCCTTGAAGGAAAACAGAAAAGAAAACAGAGTTAGTACAATTTGAATATGATAGAACGCAAAACTTCCAAAACTCTCCCAATACTCTTATACATGTAAATGAAATCATAAATATATTTGGCAAACCAAAATAACTTTTAAATGCCCAGAAGACCCAATAAATTATTACATATCTTTGTACCAAACAATTAAAAATTAGGATTCAAAGAGTATCAGTGGATGAACACAAAAAACATTAGGTTCTGCTTCTCTTTGCTGTTATCACATCTGTTGTCACGTTGCTGCGCCCTTTTTGCTGTTTTAAGGTTATATGTGCTTGCAGGACACTGTATACACTGTACTTCTGTAGCCTGAGGTTTATTTCTTGTTCTCATGCCCTTGTGATAAAGGAAGAAAGGAAGGCATTAGTCATATCAGGGGTGGGCTGGGACTCATAACTGACTCATGAGTACAAGAGGAATGCAGACTTTTTTTCATGTAAAGTTTCTATCCATTGGACTGCGAATTAAACTCATGCCAATTTCTCATCAGATCCATTTATTTCAAGGGGAAAAAATGACTTCAAGTTAAAAATAAAAGAGTACTTGTCCAAAGTTTCTATTGGAGATGACAGGCCCTTGGAAAATAAAATGGGGCAAAAGATGATTTTTAAAGAGAGAGAGGGAAATGATAGGCCCAAGTTCCTTCATTCAGTTAAAAACTAGCACAATGTGCAAGACAGACATGGTCCCTCTCCTCCAGAAAGCCAAATGGGTCTATCATGTGAGGGCAGAGGAACCAGAGCACAGCACAGTACACAGCAGGGGTTAAGCTAGCGGCAGCTGGAGTCAGACTACATCATGAATTTCCTACATACTGACCCTGTCCTTGAACAAATTACCTGATTCTCCAGCTCAACTTTTTTCATCCTTAAGATGAGGATGCTAATAATCCTACCAATCTCATGAGGTGGTTGTAAGGAATAAGTATGTTGATACCTGTAAAGCATATAGAACAGTGCCTGACACACAGAAAACACCTGATGTATGTTAGCTATTATAGTGACAAAAAGCTTGAAGAGTTTTCCATTAGGGATGTCAGCATGCCCCTACAGACATGGTCTTAAAATTTTTATGATAGAGTACTCCACCAATAAAAACACTTAGTATACCTTATTAATGTCAAATTAGATTTATAAAATTATATACATGTATTTTCTCAACCAAAATATTAAACATTAGAAAAACTTAAATTTCTAGCCAAGCACAGTGGCTCACACCTGTAATCCCAGCACTTCAGGAGGCTGAGGCGGACAGATCACCAAAGGCCAGCCAAAATGACAATACCCCATTTCTCCTAAAAACTACAAAAATTAACCAGGCATAGTGGCACACCTGTAGTCCCAGCTACTTGGGAGGCTGAGGAAGGCTTGAACCCAGGAGGCAGAGATTGCAGTGAGCTGAGATCACATCACTGCACTACAGCCTGGGCAACAAGCAAGACTCTGTCTCAAAAAAAAAAAAAAAAAGAAAGAAAGAAAGAGAGAGAGAGAAGAGAAAAACTTTAATTTCTTAGCTTTGCTCAATAAAATAATAGAAATAAGAGTTACTACATTTTCTACTTGCATCCTTATGAATGGTCTTATATACTCTTAGCTGTGTGCACACTTACTGTGAAGGCTACCACCCCAGTGGGCCTCAATGAAATACAAGTATGTTTTAAGGAACAGATAAGTAATTCATCACCGTCACGTATCACCTAGCACAGATCAGTTCATCCAATAACTGTCATGGTAGGAAGCAAAGAGCAAGACTCCTAAATAATAGCACATTGAACATGGTGTTTCAAAAAGGTGAAGAAGGAAGTATCATGGAACAGATATACGTAGTACAGGTAGGACAAGGAGCACATTGGAGGGATCAAGGGAAGGCACCTAGAGAAAATGACACCAGCATCTAGGGTTGCAGGATATGGAAAAATTAACCATATGAGCAAGGAGGGGTACAATGTTACAGGCAGAGGAGCAGCAAATGCAAAGTAGTCGAGATCAACCTGAGTCTACCAAACCAAAGAGCTGGGTGAGCAAAGACCACAGGCAGAAAGAGAACAGTAGCCAGGAGACTGGGCCCAATCACAAGGGCTCTTTGGACAAGTTGAGGCCTTACCAGGACTGTCCCAGGTGACTCTTATTCCAGCATCCTCATTTAGCATTTGTCCTGGATCTTTTTTTGGTTAGCAAAATACAATTCTAGAATGGGTTTAATGTGCACATAAATTAACTTTGAAGATGCTTATTCTTTTTTTAATTGACAAGTAATAATTGTATGTGTTTATGGTATGCCACATAATGTTTTGATAGATGTGTACCTTATGGAATGGCTAAATCACACTATTTAACATGTGCCTTACCTCACATAACTATTTGTGGAAAGGATCAATTAAAATCTACTCTCAGCAATTTTCAAGTATACAACATGTTGATATTAACCATAGTTACAATGCTGTACAATAAATCTCTTGAAATAATTCCTCCCCTATAACTGAAATTTTGTGTCTGTTGACCAACATCTCCCCATTCCCTTAACCCCCAACCTCTGGAAACTGCCATTTTACCATTTATTTCTATGAGCTTATCTTTTTTACACTTCACATATAAGTGAGATCATGCAGTATTTGTTTTTCTGTGCTTGGCTTATTTCACTTAACATAATGTGCTCCAGGTTCATCCATGTCATTGAAAATGATAGGACATCCTTCTTTTATAAGGCTAGTATTCCTTTATGTATTCCTGACTAGTATTCCATTATGTATATATACCACACTTTCTTTATCCACTTATCCATTGATGGAAGCTGCCATTAATTCCATATCTTACATATTGGGAAGCATACAGTGGGCATGGAAGTGCAGACATCTCTACAACATACTGATTTTATATCTTTGGATATATGCCAGTAGTGCTTTGGGAGTATCTTACCTTGTAGGAAGGAACTTCTGTTCATTGAGATTACTTTTAATGAGAAAGACTTATTCTATTCTATACTGAATTGAAATGAAATTGAAAAGCCCTAGGATATTTCAGCAAGTAAACTTGGTAAAACCTTCAAAGGAACCACAAATAGAGACAACTTACTGGACAGATTTTGTCCTGTAAAAACATTTATTGAAGAGAACCAGGGGGCTCTGCAAGCAGACCCTGTAAAATATTTGGGCTGAAAAATTAAAAATTGCAGTAAGTGGGTGGGGGGATGGAATTGAGAATACCATCCATATAGCAGAATTAGTTCTGATCTTACCAGGTACCTCAGCATGTGTGGAGAGGGTGTTTTCTTAATTTAAAATACTATGGTCAGATCACTTGAATATCAAAATAAGTAATGGGTTACAACCTACTGAAAAAAACAAAAATCTGTGAGTTCATGCTGATGTATAATTAAATACACGACTGAGCGAAAGAGAAGAAAAAGTTATTCCTTACCATAGAATTCCAACTAATAAATGTAGAAGGAATGGTGGAATTCAAAAACTTCACAACTATCACAAAATAATGGTAATAATCATCAATCTAGCATGTATAAGTTAAATGAGAATGGTGAGAAATAATAAACCATTGTTGTTTTAATCTACTAAATCTGGGGGTGGCTTGTTTCACAGCAACAGATGATTGGAACACTTTGGAAATGAGCAAGATTAACTAGCAACTCTCTAAAGCTACTCAGTCTCATACAGGAGCCTCTAAACACATGTGACTATTGAACCACTGAAATAAGCAGCAAGTGTAAAATATACCCCATATTTCTGAGACTTACTATCAAAAACAATGTAAAATATCATGTCAGTAATTTTATAGTGATTAAATGTTCAGTTGATAATATTTGTAAATTATTGCGTTAAATGAAATATATTATTACAAGTAATTTTACCTGTTTTTCTTTTTTTTTAATGAAGCTACTAGAAAATTTTCAGTAACTTATGTAGTTTACTTATACTTCTATTAGACAGAACTGGTCTAAGGGATAGAAGACTTAAATTTAAGCAGATCAGACAGAATGCAATTATTTAATTTTATGAATAAAACAATAATAATAGTAGTAGATACCACTTACAGAATGTTCTAAAGCATTACATCTATTAACTGGTTTCATGCTCACAACAATACTATTAAGTATTAATATCCTTATTTTACAAATGAGAACACTGAGATACAGATGTGAAATGACCTGCCCAGGGTCACACAGACAAAAGGTCGTGGGGCCAAGCTTCTGACCCTGACCACTTGACTCATGGGTCTGAGCTCTAAGCCACTGCTCTGCAATGACTCTCGGTATAAAAAATAGTTGTGTGCAAATCAATCAATGTGATACATTATATCAATGAAGGGCAAAAACCATATGATGATTTCAATTGAAATCTGAAAAAACATTTGATTAATTTCAACACCTCTTCATGATAAAAACCCGCAGAAAGCTGAGTATAGAAGAAACATACCTCAACATAATAAAAGCCATATATGACAGACCCACAGCTAGTATCATACTAAATGGGGAAAACTGAAAGCCTTTCCTCTAAGATCAGGAAGACAACAAGAATGCCCACTTTTACTTTTGTTATTCAACACAGCACTGGAAGTCCTAGCTAGAGCAATCAGACAAGAGAAAGAAATGAAGGGCATCCAAATTGGAAAGGAAGAAGTCAAATTATCCTTGTTTGCAGATTATATAATTTTTTTAATGTACTTATTTTTTAAAGGTAAGTAGACAGAGTCTCCCTGTGTTGCCCAGGCTGGTCTCAGACTCCTGGGCTCAAGTTATCTGGCCCTCCTCCACCTTCCAAAGTTTGGGGATTACAGGTATAAGTCACCATGCCCAGCCAATATGATCTTATATTAGGAAAAACCTAAAGAATCCACCAAAAATGATTAGAACTGATAAACTCAGTCTAGTTGCAGGATAAAAAACCAACATACAAGAATCAGTACAATTTCCATATGCCAACAGTGAACAATCTGAAAAAGAAAACAAGAA